TAATTCTGGAGGCTGGAATTTGATAATTCTTTTTTTTTTTTTTTAAGATGACCAGTAAGGGGATCTTAACCCTAGACTTGGTCTTGTCAGCACCATGCTCTCCAAGTGAGCTAACCAGCCATCCCTATATAGGGATCTGAACCCATGGCCTTTGTGTTATCAGCACCACACTCTCTCAAGTGAGCCACCAGCCGGCCCCTTGGAGTTTGATAATTCTAAACGTTCTTTATACTTTTCTGTTTTGATTGAATTTTACTTTGAATTTTAAAAATAAACAACCAACATTTCTTTTAAAAAATCATTATTATTTATTTAATAATTATAAACTTAATATTTATTTTGAAATGTTAATGCTCATACCGGAAAAATCCCACTGGATATAGTAGTATGCTAAGAAATTAGAAAATATTGATGAAATGAATGATTTGGGAAGAAACACAAACTATCGAAATTGACACAATCATAGCAAAGCAATAACCAAAGAAGAAATTGAAAAAGTTATCAAAAATTATCTCCAATGGTTTAGCTACTGAGGTATTTAAAATATTCAAGAAACAGCTGTTTTTAAATACCATACAAATAATTTCAGAATATAGAAAAAGACAAAAAACTCTGGAGGTTGAATAGACCCAGACATTACTATAGTTTAACCAAGTACCTTTAAACAAGTTATTTAAACTCTCTAACTTCTAGTTTCCTCATCTATAAAATGGGAAGAGTAATAGTGTCTATCCTCCATAGATTTGTTATGAGGAATAAATGAGATAATGTGTGCAAAGCATATGGTAAAGTGACCAACACATAGTAAACAATAAACACAAGCTATTACTATCATAAGTAACAACATTAGAACAGTACTAAATACCAAAGAGTCTACAGCCTTCCCATACTAGTATTAATTATTCAGCAAATAAAATAGAAAAACATCCTATTTAAAAGAGGAACAAAAAACACAGAAGTAAATGTATTTAAAAATCTGCAGAAAAATATGGCAAAATCCTTTTGAGACATCTTTTTTTTTTTTTTTTTGGTCCTTTTTGAGACCAGCCACACCGCACTCAGCCAGTGAGCGCTGTGAGCGCACTGGTCATCCCTATATAGGATCCGAACCCACGGCGGGAGCGCTGCTGTGCTCCCAGCACCGCACTCTCCCGAGTGCGCCACGGGCTTGGCCCCTTTTGAGACATCTTAATGAATATCTGAATAACTGGAGAGACATAACACATTCCTGGATGAGAACACTTCATGTTAAAAAGGATAGCATTCTTCTCATACTAATGTATAGGTTTAGCACATTTCCAAATAAAATATTAAACAAATGAATCTATTGTTCATCTGTAATAATAAACACATGAGAACAGCTAAAAATCAGAAGAAAAAAGAATGAAGGGGAACTTACTGATTAATAGTAACGAAAATAGTGTGCTACTCCTTAAAACCTGACATATTATGAAACAGAATAGCTATCTCTACACTATATGTAAGAACTTCATGAGTAATAAATAAATCATTTGCAAACTAATGGGATAAAATAGGATGGATTTCTTTTGGGAAAAAAAAACAAGATAGAACCACTTTCCTTGTACCTGAGGAATTTGCATTCTCAAGGCTCATTCCCTTGAGACATACTAAACTTGTACTAGGAAAATTGGCCTGGGCCACAACTTGACGTAAGTTTGAGAGAACAGAAAGAGAACTTTAAGCCTTGGAGTGAAGAGAATTTTGCATTTTACCATTGCTTGAAATCCGTGTGTATGTGTATGTTTTTCCTCATTAATTGGTGATCACTTCCTTGGTGTGGTCAGTGGAGGAACTATACAAAGGCCTTTCCAGGGGCAACAAAGGCCAAGGGTCATACACTGGACCTCACATTAAATTTAACCTAAAGGGTCAGGATGAGAGATTATATCATCCTGCTCCAAAATTATCCTACCTCTCTCGACAATAACTGTCATAACTTATTCTATGTACACTACAAAAAAATAATTCTTCTGTTTACATTTTAGGTACAAAAATATTTTAATGTTCCATACCATTGGATTTGAGTTCCTGGGAATATACATGGCTTAAGAAATTACAAAAGGTAAATTATACAAAAAATTTTAATATTATTTAATCTGTGGTTGTTTATATGTTGACAGAAACATGCTTTAGCAGCTGATAAATTGCTTAAGTAATTTTTAAAATGACTATTACACAATATTAGACAACTTGGGCAGAACATTTATATAAAAATGAATTATAAAAAGAGGAAAATATGTGAAACTAAAACTAAGGAAAGAATCCACTACAAGGGAAATAATGAACCTTATATGAATCCAAGGAATGTGATGTGGAAAAGCACTAACAGGGGATTTGAAATTACGTACAACAAAAACCTTGTTCTGGCCAAGCAGATATAGGCTAAACTTGTTTTATTCCTGTGAGAAAGGAAGTGCAGAAGCCTTCCACGAAGTGTAGCTGCAAAAACACAATACTTACATGTATCAGACAACTTTAAGCTTACTTAGAAAATTTTAAAAAAAAATTCAAAAACTTGTCAAAGCTGAGTCTTTTATGTGACTCGTTTCACTATAAACACCTGTCAACCTTGTCTCTGAGGTAAGAGAGCATTTTTTTTTCCTTTTTGTCTTTTTTACTGACTGGTAACGGGATCACAACCCTCAGTGTTGCGCCCGCACCGCGCTCAGCCAGTGAGCGGGAACCGGTCTCCACATGGGATCCCAACCCTCGGTGGGAGCGCCGCCGCGCTCCCAAGTGGCGCACTCTCCAGTGCGCCACCGGGCCGGCCCAAGAGAGCATTTTTTATAACACTATTACCTTAGTAATATTAACTTACTTAACAATAACCTTAATTATTCTTGAAACATTTGCCAAAAAGAGAGTCTCTATAGGATTTATATAAAAATGCAGTACACAGCCTGGGTCCTCTGGTACACCAGATGGATAAGAATTAAATGTTAAATAGGAACACAGGGAAAAGTAGGAAAAAATATAAGTAAATATTTCTTTGATCTTGGATTGTGAAAAGACTTTCTTGGTATCAAAGTAATGGGAATAAATCAGAAAGGAAAATATTGATAGATTTTTACTACGTATGACTTCTGTTCACCAAAACCTCATATACAAAATTAAAAGGAGAACAGCAAACTGGGAAAAAAATTTACTATGAATTGGAACAAAGACTTTAGCCTTAATACATGAAGATTTCATGCAAATTGACAAGAGATTCTATCACAGAAATCTATTATTCCTTTCTTCTTCTCAATGCCAAGACTGAGTTAAGGCTAGCTCCTTTTTAGCCTTTAGCTTTGTAAAAGTTTCCTAATTTGTCTTCCTGCCTCCAGTCTTCCCTCTCCAAACCATCCCTCACTCTGCCACCAGAAGTATTTTTCTAAAACACAAGGGTCTTCTTTGAAACCCCCAATGGTTCCCTATCACCTAGATAAGAAAGGTAAAATTCCTTAGCTTGGTATTGAAGACCCTTTTCTCACCTTTCCAGCCTCTTCTTCCCTTGGCCTGCCACCCTGTGACTCCCTCACTACTGCATGCTGTCCCTCAGCTGTCTCTTCCGTTGCAGTGGACTCCCTCCCCACCCCCAGAACCCCCACCTCACCTGTTCACCCCCCAGTCCCTCCCCAGTGTTCTGCTCAAAGCTTCACTGCCCCCCCCCAGGCAGTCAGCTGCTTCTCCTTCCCTGCCCCTGCCCTAGTACTCACTGTATACTACTATTAGCATTTGCCAGACTATAATTTTAATATAAAATTAATTATATATTTAAAATTTAAGTTATAATTAGTCATACTGATGTCTGTTTCCAGCCCCCCCACCCTGCCACTTCTAATAAAGAAGCATCTCTATTCAACTTGTATTCCTAGAATGGCACACAGTGCATACTCAGTAAATGCTGTTAAATAAGGGAATGAATAGTTGGATTGAAGGAATTATATAGTTTCTATGGAAAATGAATTATAGAACTTTTTTTTAAAAGGTAGTTTAAAAATACATTAAAACTTTCAAGTAATAGGCAGAAAATTGCAAACATTTTAAAGTAGAAATTTTTTTTTTTTTTAAAGATGACCGGTAAGGGGATCTTGACCCTTGGCTTGTTGTTGTCAGCACCATGCTCAGCTAGTGAGCCAACCAAGCCATCCCTATATAGGATCCGAACCCGTGGCCTTGGTGTTATCAGCACTGCACTCTCCCGAGTGAGCCACGGGCCAGCCCTAGAAATTTCTTTTTAATATTATTTATTTATTTATTTTTAAAGTAGAAATTTCTAAAGCCTACAGTAATGAATGAAGGTTATTTGCAAATGAATAATGTTCTTAAAAATAGTTCAATTTCATTTGAGTAGAATATTCATGCTTTCTAAACTTTGTTTTACATTATTATTTTCTCTTAGGCTCACACATTGCAATAATTACATATTATTAACCAGTAAAGAACAAATGAAAGAAATTATAATAGTGTTGCTGCCACTGCTGAGTGGAAACATGTTGAATAAAACAATGAACTAACATTACTTTCCAAAAATGGAGAAATTTGTTCAACCCTATTGCTGCTTTATTCCACTGAGCAGTAATTCCCATTTCAGTATCTCACCAGTCTTAGCACTATTACTCTGAATCCTTTTTATTTAAATGATTCACAGAAAGAATGTTCCAACTCTGCTCACAGCTGTCACATTCACCTGTTTGTCACTTGCTGAGCATGTGAGCTTGCATGTGCCAATTACAAAAGAAGTCGCTATTTCAGCCCTTGAGAAGATAACAGTTCAGTTGCAGAAGATGCAAACACATATAATCAGAAAACAATTCAAGGCAATATTCAGTGGTAAGTGTCAATTTTTGTGGTATAGCAGTTACATGGTATGAAAACTGAGAGGTGGTCAGGGAAGGCCTTGTTAAATGAAATTACTTGATGTGAACTCAGAAGCTGAGGGAAGATTGAGTTATTGAAAAGAAGAGGAAGATACCCTGCCTGGGAAAACACCCTACCTGCGATTTTCTCCATCTCTTGCAATAGCTTTTCCAAGTCCTTATTCAGGTCTGACAGCATTTTCAGCATGTTGTCATAGTTCCTTTCCCCAGGGTCAGAATCAGCCATCTAGGCAGTGCACAGAAAGAAGCTGTGAGACAGACTGTTTCGATTCCAACTCCATTGCTCACAGCTGGGTAACTTCTCTAAAGAATTCTTTCCCCATCTCTTAGATTCCGATAATACTGTTTACCCCATAGGGCTATTGTAAAGGTTAAAGGAGAATGTGTATAAGGGGCCTCACATAGTGTTTGACACATATTAGTTGTCCCTCCCTTTTCTTCGATCCTTGCCATATGAACACTTCTTCAGACACAGCTGAGGGCTGGAATGATTAAAGTGGAGGGCATTTTATTTGTAATAGGGAAAAAAGTATTTGCCATTATGGTGACACAGTAGTGGAATTTATTTTGGCAAAACTGTAATTGAGAACCCACTAAAATCCAAGTGTGTGTTTGCATATTGTACTGGTACGTTATGAAGATACAATCCCTGCACCTAAGGAATTTTCAGTGAAATATGGGAATAAGTTAAACACACACCATAGGACAAGCCAGAATATGACAGGTGCCATAGCAGATACATAAATAGTAGTAGTTAATATATTAAATACAGATATGAAGCTATGGGAGCCTGGAGGACAGTAAGTTTAATTTTGAAATATGAAATAATTCACAAATTTGCAGATATAAAAAAAATTATCAACTTAACTTTCCAGAAGGACTTTCCTGGGCATTAGAGGCAGCGTCCCTTAGAGTCTGAGTCCTGGCACTGGAGTAGAACTACCTAGGTTCAAATTCGGCTCCCCCACATAGCTATGTTGTCTTGGGCAACTCACTTATTCTCTCAACAATACAGTTTTGTAATTTTTAAAAAGGAATTATCAACGGTACCAATATCTTATGAAATTTTTGTGAAGATTAAGTTATATAAATTACATACTGTTCAGCACAGTACCTACCATAAACATTTAATATAAATCAGACCTATTGTTACTTAAAATACTGAACTCTAATTAAATCAGGAGACCTTTATTAATATACATTAATTTATTCCATTAATATTTAATGCTCGCCTATTTATCTACAAGGCACTGGGCTAGGTAAGATGGGAGAGAAATAGACTAATAAGACTGCGGGAGCTGTCAGGGAATTTATAACCTCATGAAGGTGAAGACTGAGCCAGGTGACCATGCCAGAGAGAAGGATGTGCCGCAGATTTCATGGCATTGTTCTCATACATGTGGACGTGTGGGGAAAGCCTTCCTGGCCTTGGTTCTCCGTGGCTCCCTAGGCCTCCCCGTCATGGCAGCATCAGCTGGTGTTGTGAGTGTGGACTCCCCAACTAGACTGTGAGGACCTGGGAAGCAGAAGCTGTCTTTTCAATGAATTATTCCTAGTGTTCAGCTTAGGGCTAGGAAAATAGCAAGTGTTCAATAAATATTGGCTGAGTAAAGGGAGGAATGAATGGCTATCATGAAACTTTGATTCTGAAAGAAGATTCTGGTTTTTTCCCTCCTGCCATGCTCCCTGTTAAGGTAGGAACGCTGAAGGAGGAGCAGGGGACCTTCTAGCAGACCTGAGAGGAAGATCTGAGAATGTAGGGTGCAGGGCAGGGTGTACAGCCTTTGGGATCGATCTGCAGATGAGCTACTTCTGTGGGCATGGAGCCATTTCACATTCAAGGACACCGTCCTTTCTGTTGGCCTTACGTTTTTTAGTAAGTATGAATAGTTTGCTAAGAATGACTGGGGAGGTGCAAGCAGGGAGCCAGGAGTGAGTGGTGGGAGGAAGACACGTCTGGAACACCTACTCCACCTCTGTCCTGTGTCTACTCCCTCCCTTTCCCAGCCAGGCCTCACACATTTGCTGCCCTGCACTTCCTACTTCTTCGTCCCTCCTGTCATCTGGTGTCTGTCTCTGCCACTCACTGAAATTGCCCTCTCCAGAGTCATAACTGGCACACGCAGGGCACTTTCTGTCCTTGCCATATTTAACCTGTCAGCACACAACAATTCTCCCTCTCAACCTCTCCCTCCTGATGTTTTAACATTGTTCTTTCCTGAGCTCTGTCCACTTCTCCAGTAGCTTCTTCCCTGCTCTTTTCTGGCTCCCTTGTTCACTGGCTCTAGTGTCCACGAAGATCCTCTCAACACTTCCTCTCTGCACTAGACACTCTCGGTGGTGATGCCGTCTCTTCCCACAGGTTCACTGCCTGTGCTTATGCTTAGGATTCCCAAGTAGATATCCCAATTCACACCTTGCTTATAAACCCCAGGTCTGTATGTCCACCTGCCAATGGCACTTCTCCTTTGGGATGGCCCCTAAGCATTTCAAACTCAACAAGACCCGAGCTAAACATATGATTTTTTTTTTTTTTCCAAAATCTTCCCCTCTTCCATTCTACAACCCGGTGAATGCCACCAGTGTTCACTCAGTAGCCAAAGCCAGAAATCTAAAGTCATCTTTAAGTCCTCCCTCTCTCATCTTCCTGACCTAAGAGGCCACTGAAACTCACCAATTTAATCTGTTCATGAAATAAATATTTAATATCTATGGGTCAGGAAGGTCTACTGCTTGGTAGCCACCAGTGAACTAAACCCTGCCCTGTGGAGCTCACAGCCTCGCCCAGCTCTTCTAAGTCTCTCCTGTCAGTCCCTTCCTCTCTCTTCCCAAGATTACTGCTCAAATGAGGTCCATCATCCCCCACTGGTTATAGATTTATTGGGCATCTACTCTGTGCTAGACACTTATTACAGCTATGTAGACACTAAAGAGTATCTGTGGGTCCAGACAGACAAAACTCATGCTCTCATAGAGATTCTGTTCCAGGTGAAGAGACAGATAATAAACAAGTAAACAGGTTCATAAAGATCCTTAAGTTTGTACTAACTGCTACAAAGAAAAAATAGGGTGGTGTAATAAAGAGGATCTTTCATGGGGAAGGGGCACTTTAGATTATAAAATCAGGGAGTCCTCTCTAACGAAGTGACTTCTGAACTGACACAAAAGAAAAAAGAGCTGGCCACATGAAGATCTAGGGGAAAGAATTTAAGGCAGAAGGAATCACTCAAGAAAAGGTGGGAGTAACCGTGGTGTGTTCTGAGAAGCAGAAAGTGTAGAATGGTGAATCTGAAGAGGAGACTGATAATATCCATGAGTCCATGATGAGAAGGAGAAGGGTTCACGACATATTCTGGAAGATGAGCCAACAGAGCATGGTAGAGGATTTGATGGGTCTAGGTTTGTAGGGGCAAGTGATAGAAAAAGAGGAATCAAAGATGACTCCTAATTTTGGTTAGAGCACTTTGATGGATGGTGGTATTATCGACAGACACGGGGAAGACTGGGAGAGGAGCAGATTAGAAGGAAAACCAAGAGCTCTATTTTGGACACGTTAATATGAGATATCTGTTAGGTAGGCCTAACTGCTATTTTTGTTGCCCTGATACAGATGAGGAAAGCAAGGATTGCAGAAGTCAAGCAACCTAAGATCATACAACTAAACAGTGGCAGGGCAGGATTTAAAGCCAGACCTGACTCTAGAGATGTAGCTCCTCAGCACTACATTTTCTCACAATTGCCTCTGATAAGACAGTAGAGTGGTTTTGAGCCTGGCTATCAGGATGGATGGAGCAAAGGTGAAAGAATGAGAATGAGGAGATGGGATGCGGAAGCCAATAAGTTCAAACTGGGGCATCTTGAGTGTGTGGTGTCTATGGGATGTCTAGGAAGAGCTACTCAACAAGCAGTTGAAACACAGGATCAGAGCTATGGAGAGAGGCTAAGCTGAAAATAAAGATTTGATAGTGGGAAGAGATGAAAACATTTACGTGAGTATCTAAAGGGAGAAGAGAAGATAAACCAGGAGTGAACTCTGAAAAACATCAGCATTTAAAGAGCAGAAGGAAACAAGCCCATAAAATGTACTGATAAGCAGTCAGAAAAGTAGGAAACCAGGGAGTATGTGCTTAAAGCCAATGGTAGAGAGAAGAGATTGGCCAATTAATTCACTTAGTCAACAAGTATTTACTGAATGCTAAGCAACATTTTAGGTGCTAAGAATATATCAGTAAACAACGGGTGGCCAGTTAGCTCCGCTGGTTAGAGCGCCACATACTAACATCAAGGTCAAGGGTTCGGATCCCCTTACTGGCCAGTCACCTAAATAAATAAATAAGTATCAGTGAACAAAACAGACAATAAGCCCCGCCCTCATGGAGTTTACATTCTAGTCAGGGGAGACAGGCATAGGCATAAATATATAAAATGGCAGGTGGTGATGAGTGCTGTGGAGAAAATAAAGCAGGGTTAAGGGGGCTATAGAATAATGGAGTTGGGGGAGTGACTCCATAGATGGTGGATGGGAAAGTGGACAGGGAAGTCCCCTCTGAGTAGGTGAATCTTGAAATAGACTAGAAGAAAGTGAGCATGTGGACCCTATGGATATCTTAAGGAAGTTTTGTGCAGAGGGAACAGCAAAAAGAAAGGCCTTGAGGCTAAGTATTCTTGGTGTGGCTGAGGAAGAGCAAGAAGGTTAGCAAAGCAGGAGTGGAGTGATAAAGGGCAGGATATTAGGAGATGAGGCAGAATGTTTGGGGAGGATGTTGCAGTTTATGTAGGATTTTGACTTTTATTCTGAGTGAGATGAGACACTGGAGGGATTTGAAAGAGGTGACATGATTTGAATAATGATTTGAAAGGATCGCTATGGCTGCAATGTTGAGAATAGACTGGGGGTGGAGAGGGTGAAGCAGGGAGACCAGTTAGGAGGCTGCTGCAAAACTCCAGGTAAACGATGATGGAACTTGGACCAGAGTGTTAGAAGTGGAGGTAGTGAGAAGTGACTAGATTCTAGATATGTTATGAAAATAGAGCCAACAGGATCTGCTCATATCCAAGTGGAAATATGAATCAGGAATGCAGTGAAAAACCTGGTTGAACATCCATATTTGGGAGTTATTGGAATATAGATTACATTTAAAGTCATGGGACTAGTTGACATCACCAAGGAAGTGAGGGTAGATGAAGGAGAGGTTTGAGCTCTCCAATGTTTAGTCTGGGAAGATGAAGAGGAACAAGCAAGGGAGGTGAA